GGGCTGCAGCCCACGCCGTCGCCGGCGACCCACGGCAGCCCAGCTCCAGGTTGAGCTGTTGTTCAGCATCTTAGCTATGGAGGGCAGTGTCACTGGCCCTCGTATGTGGGATCCGAACCGGGGCCCTCTGGCATCCCAAGCGAGTTCTTAACCATCGCGCCACTCGGCTGGCCCACTATTATATGTATTTCATACACACACACACACACACACACACTCATGTACTATATACAGTACTTATGAGCCAGATACTCTTCTAGGCCTTTGGGATATAGTGAAAAATCCAAACTTAAAATTTACGGCAGGAGAAAAATAATGGAGTAAATAAGTAAACTATGGTGTATGTTACAAGGTAATAAGTGCTCTGGCAGCAGTGGAGGTGGACTATGAAAAGATTTTTAAAGATAGCCACAGATTTTCCAGATGAATTGATTGCAGGGTATGAGAAATAGAGGAATCAATAATGATTCTATAGTATATGGCTTGAATGATAAAGGATGGAGTTTTCATCAACAGAGATGGGGAACGGTGTGGCTAGAGCAGATTTATGAGGGATTATGATGAGTCACAGAATCTAAGTTTGAGACACCAATTGATATCCCAGTGGAGATGATGAACAGGCAGTAGGATATGTACATGTCTGGAGTGGAGGGCAGAGACCTGGGCCACAGATAATACTGGAGAGTTGTAGCACCAAGTGATAATTATATGCATACCTACGGTAAGTAGAGAAGTGGAAGGATATTTACCAAAATTTGATGGTGCTAGTCTGTTGGTGATTTGATTTTAGTAAATTGTGCATCTTTCTTTAAACATTTCTATACTATATATGAATTTCTGTAATGAATACGAATCTTTATCAACATAAAAAAAAGAATTAAAATACAGAAAACTAAAGGAAGTTTGTCCTTTATTAGTCTTCTTTTCTTTTGGGATTCCCTAGGGACCTGTCTTATATCCCATTATTTATCTCAACTCCTTGACAACTAGCTTAAACCTCAGTTTCCTCATTCATAAAATTAGGGAGGTGAAACACACCTGCAGATTTCCAAACTTGAGTTTATACCAGAATCTAACAGGTTACTCTGATTTTGTTATTTTTTTTAACTGAGCCATCCTGCCACCTGCTGACAGCTCAGCGGCAGCTCAGCTCGGGCCATGAATTCAACCGGCAACCCTGTTGCTCAGAGCTCACACTCTTGAGCAAGCTCTTAACCAACTGAGCCACTTGGCTGGCCCTTAACAGGGTACTTTGAAAAAAATAGATACTGGGTTCCAACCAAACCTACCAATGATCTATATTTTAACATTAGAAAATATACAAATAAATGACAATTCATTCAACCTAAGAATGTATTCCATATGTTTGGAGTTTAAGAGTATAATAGTTTATGCCAGTTTAAAAATAATTATTTTTTTTATTGTGAAATAAACACTTTTAAAAATTAGTTTCAGCTGTACAACACAGTGCACTAGTTATACTTTTTACCCCTCAAAGTGACAACCCCCTCCCCCAATCCACCGCCCCACTCCCCTCCCCCCATTATCATGCATATCTATTGAAATTCCCTTGACTCCACTCCCCACACTATATATATACTCTACATCCCGTGACTATATATTCAATTATAGTTGACATACAATATTATACATCATCAGCTTCAGATGTGCAGTGCAGTGATCAAGCCTCTACCCCATCCATGAAGTGGTCTCCTTAACAAGACATGGGACCATCTGACACCCTACAAAATACTTACAACATTAATTATATTCCTCGAACTGTCTTTCATATCCCTGTGGTAATATTGTAGTTACCTATTTATGCTGTCTAATCCCTTCCCCTTCTCCTTTGTCCCCACCCCCTTCCAACTACCAACCATCAATTGTTCCTCTATATCTCTGAGACCACTTCTGTTTACTTTCCTCGTTCATTCAGTTTTTTAGATTCCACATATAAGTGAGATCATATGGTATTTGTCTTTCTCTGACTGACTTATTTCACTTTACATAATAGTCTCTAAGTCCATCCATATCGTCCCAAATGGTACGATTTCATTCTTCTTTATAGTGGAGTAATACTCCATTGTATAAATATACCACAGTTTCTTAATCCAGTTGTCTACCGATGGGCATTTTGGTTGTTTCCATGTCTTGGCTATTGTAAATAGCGCTGCAAGTGAACATACGGGTGCATATATTTTTTTCGAATTAGCGTCTTGGGTTTCTCTGGATAGATACACAAGAGTGGAATTGCTGGGTCATACGGTAGTTCCATTTCCAGTTTTTTGAGATACCGCCATACTGATTTCCATAATGGCTGCACCAATCTGCAGTCCCACCAACAGTGCACCAGGGTTCCCTTTTCTCCACATAAAAATAATTCTTATAGCAGAGTTTACAAACTGAAGTATGCATTAAACAGAATCCCAGAGATGAAATGTTTGTCCTAAATAATTAAATGTTCCACATTCAGATGATATAAACTGATTCATTTTCTTGCTCACTGTTTACAAAACAATGTATTTGAAAACATGTGTGCATTTAAAGAAATTAAAACGATTCATACCAAAATGCCGCTTTTCTCTTTATTTAAAGTGGCTCCAGGAGGAAAATAGGCAGTAGTACTTGTTGTAATATCCAAACTTGTACAAAGGTTGTCCTGGGTGGCACAGTCCATCCATCCTACATTAACAAGACCATCCTAAAATGAAAACAAAAAAAATAGGCCGTGTTGGAAGTAGAAGAAAAAGTTAAAGGGGTTTAGCTTTATTTAGCGAAAAAACTTTTCTATTATAAATTAAACTTTTGAAAAAAATACTCAAAAATGATGCAGATTTGCATAACATAATTAATAAATTTGATCTAATAAACATAAAAATTACATTAACCACATACAGAAAATATATTACTTTTGAGTACACATAGAACTTTGATAATTTTTGTAACTGGTAAACTCCCAACACACAAAGGGAGCTTTAACAGTGTTGAAATATCAACAAAAACTATTCCCCAACGATAATATGATGAGAGCTAAATAAATAACAATATAACAAAACAAAACAACAAAAATAAGGTTTGGAAATGACAAAAACAATAATATATTTAAGTCTTTGGTTTGAGAGCATTTTGTAATTAAATTACAGAATGCTTTGAAGTGAATGATAGCAAAAGCATCACATGTCAAAATGCATTGAACACAGCTAGCTAGCTATTTATAGCTATGAATATAATTCTCAAAAAACAAGAAAGATTACAGATAAGTGAGTTAAGTGTTCAAGAAACTACCACAGAAAATATCTGGAATCAGTTTTTAAATGTGTGTTTTAACATGGCAATATAGTTTTACAAAACAATTGATGCTTACCAACATGCCACTAAGCCTGAGTCGTGTCTGTGAAGTCAAACAATCTAGAGGAAAAAAAGAAAACAGGAGGCAATTTCAGTTTTATTAAGTCTACACTTTTATTTGACTTTCTCCCAAACAATCATGTTGATTCTAAGGCAATTAACTGAGCTCTACTGGTAAATACTGAAACCTTTATTTACTCGGTAGATACTGAGGTCAAAGTCTCATTCTACACACAAACATACACACACACACATTCATTCACTCTCATTTTCTCTCTCTCTCTCTTATTCCCTCCCCTTATTTCCCAGGATTTCTAGCTAAAGAGAATAGGAGTAATTTTCTCTCAAGTTCCCTTTAGGACCTTACTCTCCAATCTCTCCTCCTATCAACAATCCCCTTTTATCTCATTTTGGGGAAATCAGATGTAATGAGCCTATTTGATAAAGATATGTAAAGAATCCTTAAACTAAAATACAGTCTTAAAATAGCTTTGTCACTATTTTTATGAAAGTTCTGTAAGTATGAATGCCAGGACAAAATGAGATAGATTTAGAAGAAAGAGAGCTGAGCATCACAGAGCCTATAGGTATAGGTAAAATCAATCTACCTGGGATAAAAGTAAAAGAATGTCAGAAAGTTTTAAAAGTTTTCCTCATGTGTGGAATGAACAGCAATCTGTGCATTATGCCAGAATGACAAACTCCTCAAGGACAGACTAAGTTTAAGGGTGATTTTTGTCACAAGGCAATACTTTCCTAACATATGCGTAGGCCTTACAGGGTAGGGTTAGTGGTTGATTTTAGTTTCAAGGCAATACCTTCTCAACATATCGGCATAAAGGTTGAGAGGTGAAATGTGGGTGAAAATCCATGTTGGGGTTAAACATATGAAAATGTATTAATGAATTAGGATATTTTGTAATACTGGGACCAATTTTTTAACCAATCTCATTGCTTGAATACAGTTTACAGTTTGTGGTTTTGTATGTAGGGTACTGAATTTTCAACTTAATCTACTGGGGGAAAGGTTCCTAGAAATGGAAAGTTGTCATCTTCAAATATATAATTTATGAGGCAAACATGTATACATTTTTGATATACATAAGTATGAGGCAAGTCAATGACTCAAAAAAATTATTATTTTGGGAGGATTATATCTGTCAACAACTAATCATTTTTTGCAAACTGCCAAATATATCTGTGGCTATCTGAAAGTACAATTTACCATGAGTATGATTAAGCTGAAAAACTTGCTCACCAAACGGAAACCATAAATGATACTTTAAGAAAGTAATAATTTTAAAACCTCTCAATTGTAAAATAACAAAAAAGGTAAATATTCATTAAATAAAAACCTGTAATCTTGGGTATAAATTGTAGTTTGAAGTACTGAATAATCAATGATAATAGCATACTTAAGACTGTCACTTAGTCTAACAGTACACACTTCCAGTTGTAAAATTAACAAGATCTGGGGATCTAATGTACAGCATATAGTGATTATAGCTAATAAAAGTATATTATATACTTCAAAGCTGCAAAGAGAACATCTTAAATATTCTCACCATGAAAACGAAATGGTAATTATTTGACAGGATGGAGATAAGCTAATGCTATGGTGATAATCATTTTGCAAATGTATCAAATCAACAAGTTGTACACCTTAAAGTTACATGCTATTATGTCAATTATATCTCAATAAAGCTGAAAAATTAAATGTCATGGTCTCTTTATTGTAACAAAATAACTAATAAAATTACCTCCTCCTTTGGAACAAAAAGTGATCAGCCAGCCAATACCAGCAGCAAAAGCAGTTTGTATGGCGTTGACAAAATTTCCTTAAAAAAAAAAAAGCAAATTTCTGACCACTTATTACTTGATAATGAAAACAGTTTTCTAAACAGTTTTTTCTCTTCTACTCTCACCCTCTTCCAATCCACTCTGAGTAATATTTAGGATTTCCTAAAAATACTCTTAAGGATGTCATATTCCTTCACTGGCTCTCAATTTTTTTCATTGCATAAAATCTAAATTCATCATTTCATTAAGAAACTCAAAATGTTAAGTAAAGCCCTTTGTGATCTGAACTTTGTCTACCCATTTAGTCAGCCATATTTTTCCCCATGCCACTCCACTGAAATATTCATCTTTTTGTTAGATTGAAGAAGTATTGCCAGTTTTCCAAATACAGTTATCCTTTAAGGCTTCCTCTTCACTTTCATGACAGATCGGGTCTGACCTCATTCAAGAAGTATTTTCTAACCTTTTTTATTTTCCCTGAGTTCTTCCATAGCCTTCATGCTTCTCTAAGTTTCCCTCTAGCATAACAGTTACTACGTTTAATTTTATTAATGGTTTACCAATGTCTTCCTAAAATAATGAGGTCCCTGAAGTCAGGGATTATGTATTTTATTACTATATCCCTATCATTTAACATTGCTTTAGACACATAACTGGTATTCAATGAATGATACGAGCATCACTTTGATGTGAATAATATCATTTCATGGGTAGTATAGAGTAGTTAAATAACCCACCTAGAGTCACTTGATGAATTAAAAGCCTAAGATTAGAAGAGTTTTTAAACTTTAAAATTAAAGTTTTACTTTAACTTACTGCTTGATTTAGTATACTTATTAAAGCAATAAAGCACTTGGTTTATTAAACATTCAGTTGCACTTTGAAAGTTGTGCCTTCATCTAGTCCCATTTCATATCCATTCCCCACATCTTAATTGTTTTAGTTTCTTTACATACATATTGCAATTCATTTGTTAAATGCCTGCTATTTAGTAGAGGTCAGAACAAATGGCACAATTACCTCCTAAGAAGCGTGGGAAAAATACTTTATGCCACTGAAAAATTTAAAATACCAATTTCAAAGTATCCTTGAACATCAAGCAAATTAAGAAAATAAAATTACCTGTCCATAATTCTGTCACTGTACTTCTAACATGTTGCATGGCGAAACTTGCTAAGCTTTCCTTTGATCTGTCACCATGGTATTTCACTGCAGCCTATATTTTTTTATAAAAAGAGAAACATCTTTTACTTTTTCTTTTTAAAATCCACTAAAAATTATACCAAATAAGTAAAAAAAAAATTTTTTTTTTTCATTGGGGAACAGTGTTTTTTTCAGGACCCATCAGCTCCAAGTCAAGTAGTTATTTCAATCTAGTTGTGGAGGGCGCAACTCAGTGGCCCATGTGGGGACCGAACTGGCAACCCTGGTGCCATGATCACTGCGTTCTAACCAACTGAGCTAACCGGCTGCCCCAATACCAAATAATTTTGATACTACATTGTTTTGACTAATATAGTAAGAACTGTCTCTCAAATGTACAGTATATTTCCAAATCATATGCTGAGACCCTTGATTATATAGATTTCATGGAAGACATTTAATGATACTATTTATAATAATTTTAGTTTCAGTTTTATCACTTAAAACTGGAAAGAAGGGATATCAGAACTTTATATTCAATGAGACAATACCTGTGAAATACTTTATAAAGTAGAATGTGCATATTGGTTACATTATGTTCCTAAATACAGAAACTGAAATTGGCAAACATTTAATTTTGACATAGAGCAAAGTACAGCTGATCCTTGAACAACGTGGGTTTGAACCGTGCAGGCCCACTTACACTGGGATTTTTTCAACTGTCTGCAGTTCAAACCTGTGTTGTTGAAGGACCAACTGGAGGTTGGGAATCTTCGTTATGTGGAGGGCCCACTTGAGTCAGATGTGTTTTTTCAACTGTACAGGGATTTGGTGCCTCTAACCCTTACGTTATTATTTAAGGGTCAACTGTTAATGACATCATTCGTTATGTATTCATAATATAATCCAAAATGTTTATTATTACTAGAGCCTAGTTAGACAGCACCTAAAATAAGACTTAAGAATTGAAACATTCTACAAATTCACATATTGTGTTTTTTTTAGTACTTTCCTTGATATAAAGTTCCATAAACTTAAAAAATGTTAACTTGATCCCTTACCATTCCAGACCTAAAAATGAAAAGGCTGGGATAACTATTGACTCCTTTCATTCGGCAAAGCATTCTATCATCACCACAGTTAACGGCTCCAATTCGAAGTAATCCATCCACTTCTTTAGCAAAGTCTCTCCACTATGAGAAAAATAGAAAACATAAGTATTTCTCTGATAAGATCATTTTTCTTCCCTTGAACACTCTTCAAGCTATATATTCTTAAAAGAGGGCATTTTTAGCAAATAAAACCATATGTGGAATTATATAGTATTGGTGATAGTTATAATTACTATTAATAGAAAAAATCCTAGTATGTTCAAACAAACTCAAATAACAGATTAATCAGGATGTGAAATGTACATACCGTGGGAGCTAAGTCATGGCAGTGTGAACATCCTGGAGAGTAAAAGTTCACAAACCACAGTTCTCCAGAATTAACAGCAGCATCTAAAAGTACATAAAATGGAAACAACTTAGGATGATTTACTAAAAGATTTGTTATGCATTATTTTAGTTAAAAAATTTCTGTTGAGATCAGAATGAAAAAAAAATGTTAGTCATGCATCTTTCATACTGCCTTTATCATTTTCTGTATTATTTCTTTATAAGAAAACATTATTTCAACTGTCAAACTAATACCTTAAAAAAACTCTTTTAAGGTCATATTTGAATAAGAAGCAGTCTTGAACTGCTTGATACATGTCACTATGAAGCTGTAAAAAGAAAGGAAGCAACAGTCAAACTTCATGTAAGTTTGTGTGGATGAGAGAAATGAAAGGCGGGGAGGAGAGGAGGGAGAAAGAGAGTGGGAGAGAGGGGGAGAGGGGGAAGAGGGAGAATATAATGTAGTATAATCTATAAGATGATCTAATGCAAATCAACAAAATTTATTCATTTAAGGGCCGGCCGAGTGGCGTGTTGGTTAAGAGTCGGCTTGGGACGCCAGCTCTGAGCAGCAGGACCTTGGTTCGGATCCCACATGAGGGCCAGTGACACTGCCCTCTACAGCTAAGATGGTGAACAACAGCTCGACCTGGAGCTGGGCTGCCGCGACTACCTCAGCTGGGAAGAGTGTAATGATAATACCAACATGGGCCAGTGAAGCGACGTCCTCCACAACTAGACTGAAGAACAAACGGACAGCAACTTGTCTGTCCCCTTCCCTGGTTTCCCAATGCTGTTCCCCTCCCCCAATTAAAAAAAATAAAAATTTATTCATTTAAAAATCTGAACACTAAGGATGTGCTCTAACATTTAAGATAAATAAGTGAAGACAATTTGTTTTTGGTTAAAGCAGTGGTTCTCAACCTGTGGGTCGCGAGCCCTTTGGGGGTCGAACGACCCTTTCACAGGGGTCACCTAAGACCATCGGAAAACAAAAAGATATTTACATGACGATTCATAACAGTAGCAAAATTACAGTTATAGAGTAGCAACGAAAATAATTTTATGGTTGGGGGTCACCACAACATGAGGAACTGTATTAAGGGGTCGTGGCATTAGGAAGGTTGAGAACTGCTGGGTTAAAGAGTTTCCATTAATTCCATACCAAAATCACATCAATTTTAAAAAATATTTTTCGTAAGTTATAGTAAGTAAATTACATGAAGACATCAAAACATGCATACTATTCTAAATATGTGTAACTGATTCAGGTTAATTAGTAACATATATAGGGCTTAATGTTCATCTACATTTCAATTATAAGACACACAAACCTATGGGGAGAACAGTTAACCTGTACATTACAGACAAAAGTGTATAATTTAGAATTTTATCAGCTGTTTTTTGGCAGTGTTTAGAAAGTCTGACAAACAGACTATCTAGTTGGTCAAAATGATTCCCATGTTGACTTAGTCTACCCAACTAGTGCTATTAATAATTTGTCTAACAATTGGTACTAATTTAGGTAAAATCTTAATAGACTTAGTGCAAACTTAAATAGAAACAGGATATTTTATTAGCTATAAACAAGTAATGAAGAAGTTATTTACATATAAAAAGAGCAATAATTAGACTAGGTATTACTGTTCATAAGTCAAATAAAAATACGATGCACAACAAATCTGAATAGCATCTAACTGCGACATAAAACCTTATTTGCAGTACAAATGTCTCCTATCTTGGTGCTTTGTTTTCATAGAGCACTTCTAACATATTTGCCCAGTTTCCACTGTTGTTGAATAAGGTTAAAATGTTTTTAATACTGTATTACCAAAGCTCAATGGGATGTTTTTACATATTCAGGGACCCAGAATACAATATATTTCAAAATGCAAATTTTGCTTCTGAACTACACTCCAGCTGATGTCTGTTAATACCTATGGAACTATAATAGCTTATTAGCCTAGAAAAATGTAAAAAATGGCAGAGGTGTTCTGGGCTCTTTAACTTCTTGAGCTTGTCTTCAAAAGGATGCCTGTATTGTGTGGGTACTTTTCAGAATGATTAGTTTAAGTGCGAGATGTTCTGTTTTTGCAGATACTATCTAGAACTCGTTTATAATGACTGATTATATACTTTTATATATGTACGTGTACATATATGTGTACACTTTTCTGACATATAAAAATAACATGCACCATGTCTAATGGGAAGTATGAGAACATTAAAAATTTTTATTTTTCAACTACAGTTGATGTTCAACATATTAATTTCAGGTGTACAGCATAGTGGTTAGACATTTATATAACTTACAAAGTGATCTCCCCAATAAATCTTACACTGAACTGACAACATATGTAGTTATTACAATGCTATTGACTATCTTCCCTAAACTGTACTTTACATTCTTCTGACTATTCTGTAACTGCCAAGCCTGGGCGGGGAGCCTAGTGTGGGGCTGGAACCCCTCACTCCTCAACGGGCACTTCCGAAGCTGAGATATCCCTCCTGATTCTTAACTGCCACATGTGGGTGTGGGACTAACTTGCTTTGCATCTCTGCTTCTCCTGCCGGTCCCAACGTGGCTTTTTCTTTATATCCATAGTTATGGGAGTTCTGTTCAGCTAGTCTTCAGATGGTTCTCAACGGTGGTTGTTCTATAATTTATTGGGTTGTTGGAAAAGTCATGACACATTTTTGCAATGAAAAACAGAAAAAATCGTCATGAGTTTTCCGACAACCCAATAGCTTTAATTTTTGATATGGTCATGGGAGGGGAGCACAGCATTTATCTATGCCATCTTGACAGGAAGTCTGATGAGAACATTTCTAAAGCTTTCAAAGTGGCATTTATTAATCACATTTACTCTTCTATACTATAGTTGAACATTCTAGAGTTGTGCTCCTGATAAAAGCGATCTATGTAATTTGGACTAACTCTCCCACTACAACTACAGAACAGAATAAAATATAGATTTTGTTCAACAGATTTCATTTTCAACAGGTTTTCTGTTGAAAGCATCAGTGACCAATGCAGTGAAGAATTAGCAGGCCAAGGTGTGGGAGGACGTGGAAATCAGAGTGCCAACGTTTGTCACCTCTAGAAGAGGCAGTTCATAGGTAAGAAACTGAGCAGAGCTTCCAAGAAATTCATGAGGCTAGAGGGAGAAAAATGGCGTTCAGGACACATATTAAGAAAGCGTCCTGTAAATAAAGATGAACTGGAAAGGGACCAGTTCTCTGGAAGTCCAAAGCTCAGCTTTTGAATCATTTCAATCTGTCTGGTAAAGCTGATCTGAGATTGTTAGTGACCCTAGCCAGAAGAAAGCGTAACTCCTCTCTGGAGGAAGAGAATATACATAACTTTAAATTAACTCCACAATTATTTATATAATTAGTTATACAAAAGACAAGGCTAAGCAATTCAAACCAACAGAAACAATTGGTAATGGAAAGAGACCCACAAACTAACAGTAGGCTAATGTGATATTTACGTGAGTACAACTTGATACTGCTCTTCATGCTTGCTCTCGTCCCTTGGCTTCTTTAACTAAAACTTCAGGATCACCTTGTCTTAGCCTAGGAACATGTAGCCTAGCATTAGAGAGCAAATGGAAGGGTGGCAACTTTGCATTAAGCGTATCAATATTAATTATTTCTGAAAAATTATCTCTAAGGGTTTGTGGCTGTAATTTATTTTTAACTATTATTTTGGGGTCCAATATGAACTATTAGCGGTTCTTAACCTCTTCTTCATAGTGACACATCGGCAAAAGTGAGTCTATGTGCAATATAACCATCAGGAGAACCTTTCATTTGTTAGTGAGCTTGCTGGTTTTGTTCAGTTCCTCCAATTCTATCTAATTCCAAAGTTTTCTGCTCCATTTGGACCACAATACACTTACTGACAATCTAGGCTATGAGAGACAATAATAACTATGAGAAAAGCAGTAGGTTCATATAACTACATGCAGAAAAGTGACGATTCTGCCAGCTTGTGACAGGGGTATCAGTTCTGTCTACCCACAATAAAAATGAATTCAATTTTCTTCCATTTCCTTTGTAGGGAAGATATGTTTTTGATTCATTTGCCTTAGAACTTATTCAAGTGTTCACATACAAAACTTTTAACAAAGAAATGTACTAAATAGCTATTTTGTAGGCCTGAGCTCACCAACATAAAGAAAATAAGAATAAAGTGTAATTCTTGCTTAGAAGAAAATGTAAAAATCAAGTGACTGTAATACATCTTTTTATAAAGATAATATATGATAAATTATCACATATATGTTTTGTAGCTAGTATGCTATTTTAATTTTCTAAATTAAATGAGGCTGTAACAGAGCAAAATAAAACTGAAATTTGATTCCAGGTAAAATATATTGGTTTGAAGTAGAAAAGGAAGAATAAACCTATTTTATTACACAAAGTCTGAAAGTGTAAGAATCTAATCCAATATTTAAATTTTTCTAAAATGCAGTCAGAAATCCAGAACTGTATTTTATATCCAATTTCATACAAATCACAGATAAAATTAAATTTGCTTCCAAAATAACCACATACTTATCTAAAACTCTAAATTTCCAAAAGCTATGAGGCTGTATTTTTGTAAGTTTGCAGCCAGCTCACCTGGCATGAAAACCTATCCTGAAATGATATGGGTTATGTATTCTTTTTACTTCTTTTATTTAGTATACATACTTATATATTTTGCTGCAGAAATATTAATGTTTTAAATATTATACTGCCCCACATTCTGCTAAACACTATCTTTTATCAGTGCAGGTATTTTTATTTTGTTCTCGTCCAGCTTTCATTTTCTATGCATATATATGTATGCCTTTTGCATGGTTTGTATTATACTGCATATACAATTTTGTATTAGGCTTTTTTTCACTTTACATATTCTTAAATGTTGTAAAAACCTTTTAATCATGTGGAAAATACTTAATAGAAAAAAGAATAAATATTGGTTCATTACAATGTCAAATTTGTCAGTCATACACAAACACACACACATAGAATGTTGAGGATGTTGCTTAGCCCTTCCAAATTTCATTTCTTCATCTGCAAAATGTGAGGAATAATTGTGGTTACTGTATAGGAGAGTCAAAAAAGTTCATTAAGACAATGGAAGGAAAGTTGACCATAATAAAAGAAGCTACGTGAAAATCTTAATTACGGCTATAGAACATTATTTAATAAATAATATGTACCATATAACCTTGCAAAAATCCAAAACATTTCTAAATACATCTGTCCTCAAGCGTTTTAGATAAAGAAATTGGTCTTGGACTAGTTTTGGAAAATTGTATGCCCACAAACTTACCAAATTCTCTTCTATCCAATGTTATGATTTCAGGATCATCATCATAAATACCTAATTTAAAAAGTATGTAAAAATCATAAAATTAAAACTTCATCATAAAAATAAATTACTTTTCAATTATGTTCTTAATAAGTGGTATTGCTCAAAATTATATTCTATGGCTACAAATTTTAGAATATTGGCAGAGGTAGAGACAAACTTATTAAGTAAATATAAATGTAATTATAACAATAATTAAAACCAATATGAGACAATTTCTCTATCATTACTATATAAAGTATCCAAATAATATTAATGATGGATATAGACAAGGGGTCAGCAAATTTTTTCTGTAGAGGGCAATTAGTAAATATCTCAGGCACTGTGGGACATGTGGTTTCTGTCACAACTACTCAACTTGGCTCTTAAAGTGTGAAAGAAGCCATAGACAATATGTAAATATATGAACAAAACTATATGGGTATACCTCAGCGGTACTGCGGGTCCGGTTCCAGACCACAGCAATAAAGACAGTATCATAATAAAGCAAGTTGTAATCTTTTTGCTGGTGGAGGTTTTGCCTCCAATTTGTTAAGAAAGAAAGAAAGAAAGAAAGAAAGAAAGAAAGAAAGAAAGAGGGAGGGAGGGAGGGAGGGAGGGAAGGAAGGAAGGAAGGAAGGAAGGAAGGAAGGAAGAAAGAAAGAAAGAAAGAAAGAAAGAAAGAAAGAAAGAAAGAAAGAAAGAAAGAAAGAAAGAAACATCTGTGAAGTGCAATAAAATGAGATAAGGTATGTCTGTATCCAATAAAATTTCATTTACAAAAAACCAGATGGCAGGCTAGATTTAGCCTGTGAAATGTAGATTGTTGACACCTGATATAGGCTATCAAGCTGTTGTGAATATACTTGAAAATGCTACTTTGAAAAGCAAGCTCAGTCTTGAGAAACAAGTATTCCAATTATAAATTGAAAATGTTTTATTCAATCTAATATAAAAGCATACTACAGTTGCTAGCTTGCATTTGAGGTTAATTAATGACTTAAGAGAAATATTAGGTATCTGAATGCTCTCTCTTGCCTAGGTATATGTGTTTACTTTCCCCTTCCCTCGATTTAACTTGTTTACTTCTTCTGCTCTTGCCTCACTTCTTATTCTTGTCAATACCTTAAACCATTAAGAGTGGCATTTCTACTGAAATGACCACTATTAAACTTAAAGGGATAAATTTAGCCTTTCTTGGAAAACACGATGCTCTAAATATTGGGTTGTCGGAAACGTCATGACACATCTTTGCAACGAAAAACAGAAAAAATACATGATGACGTTTCCGACAACCCAATATATTGAAAGGCTTTAACATTTAACTTCTACTGCAAATATTTTTAATTAAATAGCAATCCTTATTTTAAAAGTATTTAACAATATTATGACCAAAACACCTTCTATCTGTGCAGATAATATCTACATACCACCTGACTTTCCTTTTGAATTCCACTCCCATGTTAAAGAGTCAAGGTGACACATATTAACTACATAAGCTAAGTGGTAAAACACAATTAATTTTCTAAATTTACCCAAATAAAACCCCAAGAATTTCATAAGGAATATCATCTTACCAAAATCATAACGATAATAATTCCAGCTTTCATACTGGCCTCCTTCTTGATTATCTGCAAGTCCCTTTTCTCCATATTTGTCATACTTTTTCCGTAGATCTTCATCTTTGAGTACTTCATATGCTCTATTGATTTTTAAAAAATCACTATGTGCATTTGCGTTATTCTATTAAAAAAATATTAGATATAACATCTGTTTCAGATACACAATCAAGTCTCTTTAGAACCTATATGTACATTTAATTTAATATGAGGTTTCTGGGAGAATAGATATCAAGATAAGGAGTAGTAAAATATGAAGCGGTTTATGATGGGTTGAAATAAAAAAGGATTTTTAAAGAACTACAATCTTAAAAAAAATAAGAAAAGTGGAAACTTTTCCAAGAAAACTTGGAAACTTAAAAACATCACATTCTGAAATTTAAAGAAAAATAAAAAAATAACCCTAAAAACGATGAAATGTAGATTTCAGGGAAAGATTACCAACTAACAAGTCTTAGAAAAATATTGATTCAGTGCTCAGCTTTATGCAATCAAAATAAAATAATCCTATTTTAAAAATTCTATCTAGAAAATTATAACCATATCTTTCTCCTTAACAAGTGTCAAATCTCAATATGAAAAAATTAGATAAATTATAAAGATACCATAAGAATTAAAATTAATTTAGTTTTGAAAAATTATATTATTGGGTACATAATAAAATATTTATGATTGGAATTAACTGGATCTGGCCGCACTCAAGTTTATTTATAATACTTTCTGACCCTGGTCTTAGACTTGTGCATGGGTGAAAATAGTAAAAATGTTGAAGCATGCTATTATTAGCATGCTATTACTGCCATTTTTAGCAAGACATACTCTCTAAGTTCTAAGGAAATAATTTTTGTTCCTGTTCCAAATACTTGATCTCAATCTACTTTACTAAGAAAAGTACCTCAACTACTTCACAGACATTTTTGTCTGCTTTGGGATTAACACTTGTAACAGAACTGTTAGAAATTAATTTTCAAATTAAGAGGGAATTGCATTTTTGGTATTGACATGCCTTCATATTGTTCCTTTTGCTCTTCAGTTTTTAGTACAGAATTGAATTATGATTTTTGAGATGTGATTGCTCTTAAGCATTTTGAGCACTTATTTTAAAATAATTTAAGTAGATATCAAAAGTTACTAAAATACATTAATCAGATATGCTTAAAAAGAAATTTTTACCTACCGGGTTTTTATCAGGATGAAGCTTCAATGCCAATTTCTTGAAAGCTTGTCTAATTTCTCTACTGCTTGCAGTTTTGGATACTCCAAGCAAACTGTAAAAATCCTGATCTGTGCCGACAAAAATGGCCATAGACACTATTAGAAAACAGAGAACGATCCTTTTCAAGTCTCTGACATAGTCATCTTTATTTAACCAGACGCCCATTCTTTTTCTTATACAAGATCTGATTTAAGTGAACGTTAAGATACACCGCTGGTTCCAGATGATGTAATATGCAAGTTTGAGAACTTCTGTCCACATTACTCCAACGATTACTCGAACATCACGAAATTTTCTCCCAAATGTTAATCTAAAGAGAGAAGACCAGGTAGTTAAAGTGCATTTAAAAAAATCCCAAACCCAGTAATAACACTACTTATTAAATAACATGGTCAGCAATACAATCTCCATTAAATGGCAAATCAAGGTAAGTGCTCCAGGCTCTATTTTTCGAGGGCCCCTTTCACTGCTTCCATATCCAGGTATCCACATTTGGGAAATCACTTAAGGTCGCAAGCAAAAGGTAGTGTGTGGTTGTAGCTACCCTGTTTCCCCGAAAATAAGACCTAGCCAGAAAATAAGCCATAGCATGATTTTAGGTGCCAAAATATGGCACCTTGCATACTATTTGAAACTGAAGGAATGTAGGGAACAGGCACCTTTCTACCTGAAACACGTCATAAAGCCCTCATGTGAGGAGTGTGTGCCCTCCATATCCTGAAGGAATCATGCTACGGCCTATTCTCTGGCTAGGTATTCTTTTCGGGGAAACATGATAGGTAGAACACTTTAACACACTGTGGACCGGTGATGCAGATTTGCGACTATATATTTAAAGGCCCCGTCCTCAATGTGTTAAAAACAAAGTCGGCAATTTGTTCTGATCAGCCCCAGAACACAAGGGAGAGGGAAAAAACGGCTTCCTTCCTTTTTCTACCCAGCTTAAGCGTTATGTTTCTGTAACACCACTTCCTTTTTGGCTACTTCTTCACCCCTCTAAGGCTTTAAGTTTTCATTCTCATCAGATTTCATGACAGGAAACGGCCTTTGAGGGGACTAGAAGGAAGTATAGGGTCGTTCCAAAGGGTCTGTATTTTTCACATAACCCTTCCAAAAATGACAGTGAATTTATATTGTTATGGTAGACAACTTAGACCATTTTTTCCCGAGTTTTCTCAGACGGTGATTGCTTACATTTAAGTAGGGACTAATAGGATAATAACTGCAAGTTAACAGCGTAATTTTATTGCAGTTTACATTTGGTATAAATAAAAATAGAAAAACGGAACCAGCTATTTAGACATGTTCAACTGTGTAAGGGAAAAAATAAGCTCCACTTTATCAGACATTTATTTAAACTTGTATAATTCCAAAGGTCTCAATGCTCTGAAAAAAATCTAACCTTTCTAGCATCCTCAGTTTCTGCTTTCTTCATTTAATTCTAAATGTGTAGTGTTTTTCTTCTTACCTGTGGTTGTGGCTCATTTCTAATCCCCTCCTTTTCATGCTACCAAAAAAAAAAAAAAAGAAGAAAAAAAAGAAAACAGAAAAAAGAAAGGAACCTTTGTAAAATCTAAAGATGGAATTAATATCCAGACTAGAAAACAATGATTAGGAAAAAACAGAGAACATGTTCTCAAACACCACTTTGGGACAAGTGATGTGTCCTGCCTAGCAGTTGCTCTCAGCGTGGGTGTGACTGACTTGCTCTGTGCTGAGCTGCAAGGACAGGTGGAAGGAAGCTGCAGGTAAAGGCAATACGAACGCCTTCTTGCAGCCATCACTCTAGAATAGGAAGCAGGGAGAGGGTAAAGGTGGACACATTGGATTAAAGAGATAGTCAAGTGCTGCTGGTGTCTGAAGTCTCAGGCTGGAAAAGGGAAAAAGAAGCCCGAGCAACTAAGGCCAAAATGAGAAACCGGGGCAGGAAGAGGGGAGCCGCTGGCCGGAGATAGGGCGGTACAGGTAACAGGGAGGAAGACGGGGAGCGAGAACACAGTAAATCAGCCGCCGAGCGGAGAAGAGGGCCAATTCAGGAGCACGGTAGTTCGGCCCTCCCTCCATCAGAGCCGCCGGCTCCATCAGAGCCCCGACCCATGCCCACCTCGGTGTTGCGGGATCGCCTTCTGCAGCTACTCCCCCATCCTCAATCCCCGGCGGTGTGCCCAACCCCACCGAGCGCAAGCTGTGCGTGCGGGAAGGAAACACGCACTCTCAGACCGCCGGGCCGCGGAGCTCGGGATGAGGGGAGGATGAGCCGCACCGGCAGCAGAGAGCGCGACCACCTCCGGTCGGCTCGCACGCCGGTCTCCAGGGCGAGCCGGGGCGGGGCCTGGCGCGGGGCACTGTGGGAAAGGCGTGGATGGCACGGCCTGGGAGGACCGGCCGCAGGCCTTGCGGGTGCGGCGGCTGCGGGGTGGGGAGGTGGTGTAGGTTTAGGTTGACGTGGCCGTCCGTGCGAAATCCGGCTCCGGTTTCAACCCGGAGCTGAAGGACACGCTAGAACAGCAAAGTCCGCGCCCCCGCACTTCTGGGGCTGGCGCACGCCCCGGGCCGGAGGCGGGACGACGAGGCCCGCCCCTTCCTGCTCCCGTTGCTATGGTGACGGAGAAACCCGGAGGGCGGGTTTAGGCTTGCGATTTTCTTGTGACCCGGCTCTTAAAGGGAAGGCAGGGCTGTACAGGATTTTTCGTGTGGGTGGGACAGAAAGGGGAAATTTTGTGGAAAACGGAAAGCTTGAATGAAGTGACATTGATTTCATGGTCAGACTTGAATGTTGAAGAGGTAGTGCTTTTCTCGCCTCAGCCCTGATTCCAGCCATTTCTATAAGAAGCCCTGGATCTTTTGGAGAATGATATTTAGATAGCAAGAATCTAGGTGCTAGGCATACTCTATGCTTTGGGGATGCTGTTATTTTTAGGCCTTTTCAGTGGATAGAAGTAGGAAATACGCGCGCGTGCGCACACACGTTCACGTTTACATATATCTGTAAAACTCTGAGCTTACACCAAAACTTCCAATTCCAATATACCGCCTAAGGAGCCATTCCATTCTACTTTTCTCTTTTTTACATGTGTAGCTCCTTTCTTGACAACGAGGAACCTGGTTCCCATTATCTTTTATATATATATATATATCAAACAAACAAATATATATATTTAATATATATATATATATATTTATATATTATATATATATATATATATATATATATATATATATTTTTTTTTAACTTTCAGTCCCCATATGTAACCAATCTCCAATTGCTGTGCAGTTTGTACTGGGCTGCTGTCCTGAGCAGATGCTCCACTCAGTTCACTCAGGCTCCAACCTATGCCAGGCTGTCCTCCCACCTGAAGGGGCTCCATCCAATATGCAGTCACTCACACCCCTCCTCCCCAACTCCTTCACCCCTAGCCCAATATGGATACACTTCTCACCTTGGTTGGGCTCTGACACTGTGCTAGCCCCACCTAATGGCTTTTGGTCTGTATTATTCAGGGTGGGGAAAGGCCATGATAATTTTTTCATAATCATTGAAGCTATAGTTTGAAGAGTACATTGTAGGAGGGCAACAGGAAGGACAGGAAAACAGGCTAGGAGACTGTTGCAATAGCCCAGGTGATGATGATGGCTTGGACTGAGGTGGAGTTGGTTCAGATATAGAGAAATGAACATATTCAAGAAAACAAGTAGGAGCTAATACATATACAGGATTTGGTGATGAATTGGTCATGATGGGGAAGACAAAGATATTTGAAGTCATATCTCTACTTCAGATAATTGACATCAGGAATGTCTACTTACTTCAGTGAAACCAAAGCCTTACCAGCCACAGTATAATAAAACTTGATACAACAGCTCGATCATACGTGCATGAAATATTTTAGAACAAGGGGACCGTTTTGTTTCATTTTTAATTCCATCTGGGGAATTGCTACTCATCTTTCAAGACCCAGTTCATGTTTCTTCTTAAAAATAATTTTCTGTGAGCCATTCAAGCATATTTGATCACTCCATATTTTATTATTGCACATATCATACCATATTGTAATTACATTTCATTAGTTGGCCTATAATGAATTTGAGATCAGGAATCAAATTTTATTTACTTTTTCCCTCAATGCCTGGCTAGAACAGTATTTGGAGTCTATTCCATACGTACATAAATGAAGAATCAATATTTATTATGTGCAAAGAAGAAAGAATGGCCCTTTGTTCCTGAAGTCCTTATTGTCTGGCCTGGGTGAGGGGCATGAAGAACACACATTCACATGTAGAAATATATGGTAATGTTGAGTGAGTGATTTAAATAATATGTTTCATAGAGACTCAATTTGGGGCTCAAGTGCTCAGAGTAGAATGAGAGGAGAGTATGTGTGTTTCTACATAAAAAAAGAATTCCTTAATAGACTTGGAGTTAGAATCAGATAGAACCTTTGAAGTCATGAAGTTAATTCCTTAAATTCATAGGAGAGGAAACTGAGGCCCACGGGAGTTGACGAATAACTTGCCCAAAGACACTGGACTGTAAATGGTTGAAATGGGAATATAACTTGATTTCTGTTTTCTTAGCCAGTGTGAAAAGATAATCATAATAACTAAAACTTACATATGCATTATATTCCCAGGCATTATATCAAGCACTTTACTTGTATTAACACATTTAATTGTCATAACTCTATGAAGTAGCTACTATTTTACAGGTGACGAAACTGAGGCTAAGAGAGGTTAAGCTACTAGCCCGATGTGCACAGTTAGTAATGGTAGAATTTGGATTCTAACCTGGGTAGTCTAGATATGGAGTCCATAAGGAACACTACAATCAGTTAATTGAAATATTTTGACAGTATTTATTTAAGCTAAATAAAGTGTTATTTTCATAGATTTAAAAAATAATAATATAATAACCCATCACAAGTACTTGATTTTGGGGGGTAAATTGTAATACTTTATTAGATCAGACTTAATTTGTAAAGACAAATTGTTGGATGTCTTAAAATCACCTACAGCACCTACTAATGAAATTGATATTTAATGTGTTAAATTCAGTTGAATTTGCAGTTGTTTATATTTCTATGATAATTATAATTTTATGTTTTCATCTCCAATAAACAGGTCTACCTTTAGCTCTAACTGTCCTCCTTTTATGCTTATTCCCCAACATCACAATTATTTTGACACTACAGTTTTTAAAAAAAATGTTCTGTGGTAATTAAACACTTAAACTAACAAAAGTGAAAATCAAGCAGTCCTAGGAATGTATATACACAAATACATATGTATGTATACACATATATGTGTATATATTTTGTATACATTGGTCTTGGCACTAATTCCTAAATAAATACTTGCTAAATTGAATTCAAAGCAAACAAAAGGCTGATTCCTTGCAGGCTGTCGTCTCAGAAGGGATAAGGCCTTTTGCTGAGCTCTGGAAATCAGCTCTAGCTGAGTGTTTAAGGACCTCAATGCTGGTAGAATTCTGAGGAGATACATCAAGCTATTGGTCCAACATCTGCAGATGCAAGGCTTAGCCCCAGATCCCTGATCATGACCAAGAGGTGCTAGTGTTTTCCCAATCAAAATCCCCACAGTGCAAGGACCAGGATACTCTTTCTGAATCTAATGTTTGGCTTCTAGATGCCTGGATCCTAGCCCAGGATGTGATGGGCAATGGAGGACCTGTACAGGATGTGATAAATGGAGGACATTTATCACAGACCTGGTATGTTTGATGCCTGGTTATTTGACATTGTTTTCTCAACAATTGGCACAAAAAGTAGGGCTCCTGGCCCAGCATACCAAGGTACCACAGATCAAAGACCTCCTCTGGAAGTGGGAAAAACCCAAATAAGACAATATGACTAGCTTCAAGGATTGGCATGAATAATTACCAACTGGGTGCAGAAACTAGTCCTTTGAAGTCCCAAGTTTCTTAAGCAATATATTTGTTAAGAATGTTAAGACATGGAGAGATACAGATTGCCAACATTCCCTGGCTGTTATTAAGGCCTTAGAGGGAGTTGTATAGGAGGTGAAGCAGAAGAGGAAAGGTGACCTGGAATTGCAGGTGAATCTGCTGTTTGCATAGTCTGATGGGTGCAATGTTAAAAGAGTTTTAGATAAAGTAAGACCAAATAAATGGACCGTTTCCCGTATCCACTTCCTATAACCAGAGCATTGTATGTTGTCATGTAACCAGGGTATATAGTGTTCCGTCAACACTACATAATAGGAGACGCAGAATGTTGTTAGGGCACTATGTAGAGCAAGAAGAGGGAGAAGTATAAAGCATGTGGCCCTTATACTCACTGTCCGCCTCTGGTGGGCCTTCACAATGAGGCTGCTGCTTGGAAGGCTAGGTAGTTAGGGCATTTAAATAAAGGAGCCAAATGGAATAACCTTGAAGGCGTCCCTAACTATGTTCTGTGAGGATGTAGAGGCCCCTTCCTGTGATAACCACACTGAGTGCTGAGTGTGTGAGATAAAGGAAATATTAGGGGAGGGCCAGACCATTAGGAAGATGAGAACAAGGAGGAGCCAAAAATTATAAACCCTCCCTATGACATTTAAATAATAAAATCATTTGTTTGAAAAAGTAGGTGTCCTCTGGGTAGTTGCTAACCAATCTACGCCTCTCCCCCCCATTACCCCAGTATCATAATTCATATATTAAAGCAGACGCATAGGTTGTGCAGTTGCAGATACTCACATGCGCAGTTAAAACATTGGAGGTAGGATGCTGTTTACTTTTGGGCTGTCTAGAGACCTTCCAATCAGACGCTGGATTATATATACTTCATGGCCCAGAAAATAAGCTGGGCCTCCTAGTGTAGGATCCTATAGCTATTACATGCACATATCACCTGCATAATATGTGGCAATAAAGTGCTGGAACAGGTCCCTAAAAAAGACAAATTTCACCAATCTGCTGCTTACCATCCCATTGGTAGATGGGCTAGACCTCCTGCCTAACACTGTATTTGCCGTAGATACATCTTCTCAAGGGTTTATCTGTTCTTAGCCATATTTTATCCATCCAGAAAATTGGGGGGACATGGAAGTGTCCGGAGTGAGTGGAACAAATGCAGTGCAGGACCCAAGCCTAGATAAGACTTCCCACAATCTCTTCTTTTCTCTCCTAACCTGACTTATCAATCAGTCAGGAAATCTAGACTGTATCCTGTGTCATGCATGGGTGGTGGACACGAATCTGGAGGCACTCATATATCCTGAATCACTGATGTGGCTACACAACCAGAGCCATGCTCATTCTCTCTACCTTATCCCTTGTAATACTGCAATTCTAGGCACAGAGACTCTGGTGGGTGGACCCTGTATTTATCATTCTTATGAATACGTGCATTCATTCTTATCTCTATGAAAGGTGGGAGAGTGTGGTGGTAACCGGCTGTCCTAGATCACAGGGAAATTGATTTATGGTTTGGTAGATTAGATAACACTCACTTTGAATTGCATATTCACTTGATAGTCCTAATTCAGATATCCAGTATTTGCCAGTGTC